GCTTGCCTTCTCACTCTCTTTCTCTCTCTGGTCAAAATTTAAATTAATTAATTAACTAATTAATTTTTTTAAAGAATTATTTTTTTAATTTCCTTCCTTCCTTCCTTCCTTTCTTTCAATTTGACCAGAAAGGGAGAGAGTGAGAGAGGGGGAAAGTGAGAGGGAGAAAGAGAGAAGGGGAAAGCAGGTCTGGGACTTGAACTGTGGTCAGCCACGTGGGAGTCCAGCATCCTCAACCACCATGCCACCCGCCAGCCCCCCTAAAATAATTTTTAAAAAAAGACAACCATAAAATCTTTGTCACTCTCATTAAAAGATGGAGTTTATTTCTCCTGCTCCTGAATCTGAGCTGGTCCTATAACTACTTAACCAAAATACCGCAGGAGAGATGAGGCTGTGTAAGTTCTGAGCCTACTGTATAACAGGGTTGCCTGCTTCTGCATTATCTCTCTGGAACACCTGCTCTTGAGACACGCCCTCTTAGAACCTAGCTGCCACACTATAAGAAAGCCAAGCCCTGTGCACAGGCTGGGCAGAGGGGCGCACTGAGCCCCCAGCCAGCAGCCAGCATCAATGGCCGGCCACGTGAGTGAGTCATCTTGTTGATTCTAGCCCAGTCCGTTGGTGACTGACTTGATGACCCAGAACATCATGTAGAGTAAAAGAACCAGCCAGTAGAGCCCAAACAAGCCCCATGAACCCACAGAATCATGAACGATAGATAAATCATTTAAAGGCATTTAACTGTGGGGTGGTTTGTTACGTATCAGTAGATGACCGTAACATTTAAACAGAAAAGAAAATAACCTTAGGAAGACTTGGGAGATGACAGCAAATCCAGGGACCAGCAGTTGGTGTAATGGCTATGTTGCTGGAGTCCCATGTAGTCGATTAAGGTTCAAGTCCTTGCCCCGGTGGCTTAAACTCACTCTGAGCACGTGTGCATGTGTGCACGTCCAAGATCCCAAAAGGAGAATGGAGAAGGGATTGCAGCATGGCCATCTCCCCTGGGGGGTGATTTCTCACTTTCTGTCTCTCTATCTCTCTCTGTCTGTCTGGCGAGCTCACGCGCCCTATAGCAAAAACCTCTCCAAAATAAAAAAAGACAGCAAATCCATGCAGGGTGGATATGCCTAAAGCATTCAAAGAACAGGAGGAAGGCCAGAATAGCTGGGTCTTGCGAATGAGTTGGGAAATGGGGAGATAAGGAGTGGTAGGCCACAGTAAAGAGTATGGTTTTTACTCTAAATGAAACAGGAAACCACTAGAGGGTTTTAAGCAGGGAAATAATAGAATCTAGTTTACATTCTTTTTCATATGTTTCTTTTTCTTTGTTCATGATAGAGTATGTGCACACACGTCAGAGAAAAAGAGAGGAGGGAGGAAGAAAAGCATGCACTGCAACACAATCCTTTAGCAGTGGTTTAAGCTACTACATAAACCACAGTACTCCATTGCGGCAGGCCTAGCAAACGATTAATACAGATTTCTTCATACATAAATAACACTTAGACCCCTAGTATGTTCAAGAGGTTTTGCCACAAGAGTAGGTATGAATGAAAGACACAATGATAAGCACAGAAACTGATCAAATAAATTGATAAATTTGGAACCAGCAGGTGGCATAATGTTTATGCTGCTGGACACCCACAGAGTCAACCACGGTTCAAGTCCCAGAATTGGTGGCTTAAAACACAAGCTGGGCACATGTGCTTGTGTGCCCAAAATCCCAAGAGGAGAATGGAGAAGGGATTGCGGTGTGGCCATCCCTCCTGGAGGGTGATTTCTCGCTTTCTGTCTCTGTCTCTTAAAAATCTCTCTTTAAAAAAAAAAAAGTGGGGGCCAGTAGATGGTGTGGTGGTTAAAGTCCTAGACTCCCCCAGGGCTGACCACGGTTTGAGTCCCAGACTTGGAGGCTTGTTTTCTCACTTTCTCTCTCTGGTCAAAATTTTTTAAATAATAATAAAATTAAATAAATAATTCTTTTGAAAAGTGATAAATTACGTAAACTACTGACAGAAAAAAAAAATTTTGTGTTTAAAATGTAAAATCAAGGGACTGACAGGTGGCATGGTGGTTAAGAGCACTAGACTCCCACATGGCTGATCACGGTTTGATTCCCAGACCATGCAGCTTGCTTTCTTGCCCCCCACCCTGAGTCAAACGAAAATAAATAGATAAAGTTAAATAAAATAATTCTAAAAATAAAAAAGTAAAATCAAAATACCAAGATCCCTATCATGTTCTCAAGACACTAAAAATACTGAATAATTGAATACCTGGAAAAAAAATAAGAGTTAAGCTAAGAAATAAAGCCATGAAAGACTCAAATATAAGAGAAGAAAGCAGACTATCAGAGCAATAGGCAAGCCAAAAAAGAAAAAATTAAAAAGCAATGTGTAAAAACCAAGGAGAGCTTTAATTTCAAGAAAGAGGTATTAATCATATAAAATACTCCAGCGATGATGAGAAGAATGAAGTCTGGGGAGAAAAAAAGCCACTGTATTTGTTAATTAGCTGGCCATTTATTAACTTACTTTCACAGAATGACAGGGAAGCCTAATTCTAAATGGTTAAGAAGCAGGTGACAAAGACAAGATATAAACTGAATAGAGGACCTGGGAAGATGGGAGAGTATGAAATCAAGTCCACAGGAAAGGTTTTCCACAGGCCACGGGGATGCACACTTCTTCATGAATAGAAATTGATGAGGAGAGATGAAGATGAAAATGTCTAAAGGTAGAAGAAGAAAAAGCTCATATGATAATACGATATCAAGTGGGTGGAGAAATCTACTAGGAGTGTCACATTGTGTGGGGAGGCTGGTTGGGGGAAATGTGGGTTTGGAAAAAGCACTCTGGGGGACATTACACAAAAGAAGGTGCCGCTAAGCCTGGCAAGCAGCTGAGTTTTTAAGACACCTACAAAGTCGTACTGTCGGCAACTATGTTACCTTCTCCAATGGAGATCAACAGATCTAGAGGTTAGCAACACAGAAATGACAGAGTATGATACAACAGAAACAGCTGGGAATTCAAGGCCTAAGGTCAGACCCCCAGAATCATTGATTTAAGGCTTGAACTCCCTGAGAAATCCACAGCTAATCTCATCAAACAAAGCTGCCCCAGGGCTTATTACAAACAGATTCAGGGGCCAGCTCCTAGCTTGTTGGTTAAGGGGTTAGATCCCACATGGTCAACTACATGCAGTTCCAGTTCTGGACTTGGTGGGCTTGAAAATCAAGCAGGGCATGAGTATGAGCATTCCCAAAATCCTGGAAGGAGAACAGAGGAAAAGGGATTGTGGTGTGGCCATCCTGCCTGGGGGTGCTGTTTCACCTTCCCTCTCTCTCGCTCTGAAGAGTGCATGAGCATTATAGCAAATTTAAAAAGAAAAAGAAATAGATTCTGATTCAGTATATTTGAGGTGGGTCTGAGATTTGCATCTCTAACAAGTTCCTGGTAATGCCACCAACCACACTCTGCGTAGCAAAGTATTATTATGCAAAGTAACTATTCTGTTTGGTTTAATGGTGGAGGCTAAGTCATTCTCCCACTTGTCAGTGTTTCCTAGTCTCTCTCCCCTGTTCCTATAATTTTTACCATTTTTCTCATCTGCCTCAGGCTTTGGTACTTATAATATCAAGATTATAACTTACAGGGACTAGCAAATGGTATAGCAGTTATGTTGCTGGACTCTCACATGGCTGACCTAGGTTCAAGTACTGGACCTGGTCCAGGCACGTGTGCCCAAGATCCCAAAAGGAGAAGGGAGTGCAGCATGGCCATCCCCTCTGGGGGGTGATTTCTCACTTTCTCACTACCTGTCTCCCCACCAGGCAAAAACCTCTAAAAATAAAAAATATATATAACTTACATAATAATGGTAGCTCATATTTTGTTACTATGTGCTACGCATTGTTACATGTACTCATTCATTTAACCAACACAAAAACTCTTGATAGTAGTACTATTATCTTCCTTTTACAGACACAAAAACAAAAAACCTGCCCAAGGCCACTGGACTAGTAGGTGGTAGAGCCTAGGCAGGCTCTCCCTATGCTTCTCTCCATAACAAAGTGCTAGTGGTCCCCAGGGGCTACTCAGAGGACATAGGGCCGAAGGACCCAGAGGAGGAACTGCCAGGTCCACACTCGCAGGGACAGGAAACACACAAAGTGGGTTTCAGCA